AGTTTTCACGAAGAATTCATTCAAGAAATACAAATATTTCATAATTTGGTGAAAATGAAATTCGCTTTAGTATTTTCAGTGGCTGGTAGCGGCTAACGTTCAGGGAAGGGCCTTCTCATAAGGCAGCGGCGGTTTGAATAAATAATGATTTATTCCGCTTAATATGCTTCACTTTTGTAAATTATGCAATCGGCCAGACCAAGCGCCTTTGCGGCAGCTTTCCATTCCGCCGAAAACATCATCATTAGTAATTCTTACTTATTTTTATTGCTTCTGCATCTAAAAGAAAATTGAGAATCATGTTATGTGCGTCTTCGATAGTCGTTTTCATTTTTGAGCAGCTTCAGAAGCCAAAATCGCCTTCCTAGGAATCAAGTTTCGAAACTTATCAGCAGTGCATTTAATGAAGAATCTTTTATAGGATTTCATCGCCAACAGCAGCTGTTGCGCACGGCAGTATCCGCTTCTTAAACTATAATCTCTGCTCTGGATCTCTAGGGTTCTTGCAACATTGTTTTAATCCACTGCCATACTGATAATAAAGTGGCGAAAGGCAGCAAGTGTAGAAGTTCTGAGAATTGCGGATACAGTAAATTAGGGTTTCGTGATGATGAAGCATTTTTGTCTAGTTCATTCCTGAAACATTGTGTCTGGGGCCAAATTGCCTTGGCTTTTTTTTTGAAGTACATCACTAATAAATGTTTCTTTTTTCAAGACTTCCGAACAGTCGATGTGAACAAAAGCCTGCAGGGAGCGACTGCAGTTGTTATCAAGTCCGTCATGAGATGCGTACCTCCAGTTAGCAGCCAGCCTTCGTTTATTGGCTTTCTTAATTCCTGCATCACTTCTGAAACACGTAGGGATGCTAAACTATATATATCCATGAAAATAGAAAAAACAAGTATTTGTTTAAAACGTTCCAAATAAGCCATCCAAATCCGTTGTAAAGTGATATCAGGCTTGTTCTTAAGAACATTTTAAAAAGCAGGTTAGACCAGGCGAGCAACCCCTATTTCCCAGCATCGCTCACGAGCATTTTTATTTTTCTACTATGACTTTTGCGTTTTTTGCATCTGCGCAAAGCAAAAAAAAAAAAAAAAACACATAGAAGGGTCATGTGTTTATGTGTGTGTGTTTGAGTGTGTGTGTGCGTGCGCGTGACATCTGTGCGGAAATTTTGAACTCTAGTCCTACAGTACCTTTAAAACTGAAATTTTGACAGCTTGGACTTTCACTGTGGATGGTCTTCTAGATCCTATTTTCTAACTTTTTGCTAGAATTTCGTGATGGATTATCAAGTTGCCCGGGTCTGAAATGTAATGTTCTCGTTGTTTTTAAGATAAAAAACACGCGTTTTTAACTTCAGTTAGACGAAAATAAGCACTGATGTAATTTACAGGAAGAAACCTCGGTGCATGAATAGCATTTCACACTATCCAATGATATGATTTCTGTGATGAACGGTATCAATAATCCGGCTTCGTTCGGCTTCTCCGGAAGTTTCATGGACGCTAAACCGTTCTATCACAAATTTGCTGCTGCAAACGCCGCTTCCGCAACTGCTGCGGCGGCAACAGCAACAACTTCAGGCATCCTGTCAGGCACCACAAACGACGAGGACAGGACTAATACACCGCCGGCACTTTCATCTAGGTAGTTGTTGTTTATTTTTGTCCTGCATTTCTTACATATTAACATTGGTCTATGATTTAGAAATGGTAGTGAGCTAAACCGTATTTAAGCACTGCGAGCTTTGTGTCGTTCAAGCTTAACTGAGCATTAGGATGATCCTCAGTGTTCTCTCAATATGTTTCTTACGATAATAGAAATTTTAGATCCTGCGCTCTGCACAAGCATCGAACAAGCCAGAGATGTACAACATAGAATAGTTTTGCAGGAGCACCCCAATAGAACCACTTACGTGATTGCACCCACATGGAATGCCCAAGCAACCTAGCATTCTCGGCACACTGTTTACATGGAACTGTACCAAATAGCCAGAAAAGATTTTGAAAAAATCACCAGAGAACAGTAAGGGGCTTTACGATTGATGCTGAAACACAGCATACTGAAGGATTGGAAAATAGTGGAGTCCAAATTTACCCCAGCCCTAATAAGCTCCGTTGATGGTTTTTCTGCAGCGTCAGTTTTTGTTTCCCATAAACTTTGCCATAAATTTGTAGCATCAGTTTTTTTCAGTTTTTTTAAAATTTGTAGCGTCAGTTTCCCATAAATTTGCAGCGTCAGTTTTTGTTTCCCATAAACTCATTAAGTAAATGCTTATGGCATATCGGAGCTAATTTTGTGCACCCCACCAGAAATGCGCGATAGTGCCAAACGTGACAGATGCGCGAAAAACTGGCGCAAAACTAATAATCAGTAATCGATATCTAGCGCTATTCATTTCAGTTGTGCTTCTGCAGTAGCGTCACATGTAATGAGTGGCTTGCCCGGTTCCCATCATCCCCATCACGGTGTTGCTGGACATTCGCAACAGTATCCATACAGTTACGATTGGGCAACATCGCATCAAGCAGCAGCTGCTGCTCATCTTTCCGCGCATCAAGCGGCTGCTGTCGCCGCTAATGTCGCTTCTGTTTCTTCCACTTCAGCAGGTGCTGATTTTACAAAAATTTTACTCATCTTTTTGTTTTTCGCACCTTTCTTTTTGAAATTTTTCCCCAGTCTTGTTTTTGTCTGAAATGAAAACGCTTATCAGAAGTAAAGTCAACTTTACCAACCTGCACCGAAAGACGAATGAACTCAAAAGCAGTCAAGTCGCAGCACGCACCAACAATAACCTCCCGCAACGGTGGTTTCCTCTTCCGAGGATTGCATGAAAACCCGGTGTGGTTTAATCAAACTCAATCTTGAAAGAGAAGCAACTGGAAGTTTGACTCACAGCGCAGTTGGAGATCTTTGGCCATAAAACATTTTCAGTCCTGTTACCTCTTAACCCATATTAATTTGTAAATTCGAAGACAAGCGTTAAACAAAAATCTTGATGGCTTACTCGTGTTGGATTAGTCAAAAAAAGATTATCATGGCAAAGACTACTGTGCATCAAAAAAACTAACATAATTAAGGCTGTAAATAACGTAATTAAGGCACTCACAGTGAGTCCGTATTAGCTAACAGATTAGACTTATCATCGTTTCATAGTCTTAAATGAGCCATTGAAGACAACGCTTATTTTTCTTTTTTGAATATTTGAAATAATTTAAAAAATTTTTTCTGTTATGAATTTTATATGTGGTGAGAACATCTGAGAAGAGAGAACGGAGGAGAAGGGTCTGAAACTCATAACTTAGAGCATTCTAAGTTAATATTCATTAATGCCTGCATGGTTATTTTTTGTTGATAACATTCCCAAAACGTTCGACAAGTCGTCATCGAAAGATGCTCAACAGGACTTTTCGTAGTTTTGAAAATTCTGTTACAGGTTCCTCCTGTGCGCCATCATTAGGTGCTTCTGGCATACCGTCGCCGAACGCTGTTGCCAAAGCCGCGTTTCTTTCACCGACTACGGCAGCCGGTATGTGCTCTCCTTCATAAATTATTTTACTCACACTTCTGAGAAATCTCGAGCTTTGAGTAGTACGCGAGACTCGTCTTGCTCTTCTTTTCTTGTTCTTCTCTCCAGCAACAAGAGAAAATAAACTGAGCTGTTCTCACTGCTAGCTTTATTAACAGCTGCCTCTTCTTTCATTATGGAATCCATGACTAACGTGAGAAGTAGTTGGTAAATGTAGTAGAGGTAAAAGGATGTGCGTAGTTTTTTCTGGTCACATATAGTATTTAAGGTCTTTTAAGGGAATCCAAATAAAATTTCATGGAAATTAAGAACTTCGGTAAGAAATGTGTTTTCTAAAGCTGATGAACTGCATATAGATTAATCTACCTGTTGGTGCAGGATAAAGGCAGACGTCGGCCTTAGCCATTCTGGTTCTTCCTATCCTAATGTCTGGCTTATGTCGTTATCCCACTGCTATCACAAACGTGTATACGTCAATTCTTCTGAATCTTTGAGAAGCTCGCAGGTCGAATTGCGCTTATAGCCATTTTCCCCGATTAACGACCGCGCAGTTCTGTACAGATCTTACCACTTTAGTGGTGGATTTTCGCTAATTTGCTGAGACTAAGTGGGACTATTTCAGCCAGTGACACAGTGGAGCTGCAGGAGCTTTTTGGGGAATTATTTTTTGAGGAATTATGCTTGAGTACAGCACTATTGAATGTACGACAAGTGCAGTGTATCATCATGCCATCACTGCGAGGCGAGGAAAAAAAGTGGAAACAGGGAAGGTATTTTAGGGAAAGGCAAAGCTGCGCATCATAAGACTATTTGCCGGAAAAACTTTTGGCATTAACGTGTTGTAACGCTTGCCTGCGGTACACACTGCGGTACACACTGCATCTACTTTAAAAAAAGTCGGAATTTTTTCATGTTTCCTGGCCTGGAGTGAATCCCATCCCTCCTTAACTTTCCTTTCCTTCCTGTCTCCCAGTCACTACACTACTTTACGGATGTAATTTAAAGTGTTTTCATTTCTCTCAAATTCGGACATGGATTTATAGAGAAAATCGCAGGAAGGCACTTTCTACCCACTACTCATGGAGACTGTTAGCTTGCCGCTGATCCCAGTTGTGTAACGAATAACCTACCATTTTCTTTGTTCATTTCACGGGTTTTTTTTTTTTTTTGATCAAAGAAAAAATCCATGAAGTGAAAAAAGAAAAAGCTGTCTCAAGACGACGGCGATTCAGATGGCATGCTGGTAAGCTCACCATCTGCAGCTATTTAAAATTGGATATTTAAAATTTCTGAAACAATCTTTTTTAAGGTTTTGATATGATGAATCCCATGTACCAGGCAGATTTTTACGGGTCAAATTTCCACGCAGCTCATGCAGCAGCTGTTGCTAGTGGACACACCTGGGCAGCTTACGGTTATCCACAGCAGTATCCTTTCGGTGCACATTCATATCCCGGAACAATGGTTGCTGATATGACCGGTTTAGCAGGTTTGACTAATTGCTATAACTTTTTATTGTTTTTCATCACGTGATATTGCATGTTTTAGCTAATGCTGTTGCTTTTTTTGAGTATTTTGTTTCGAGCTTTTCCGTTTTTTTTCGCTCTTTTTACCGTACTGCAATTATTTTTTCTTATTCGTCCATCCAATATCGCGGATATGAAAAAAAAAAAAAAAAAAAAACTATAATTTGTGTATCAGTTAAACTTAAAAGTCATAACCCTTTCCATACTTCACTCTGAAAAATAGAGGCATTTGGATGTAACACAAGTGGAAGCAAAATGCCATCCATTTGTTTAAAAGACTATCAGTGTCTTCTTTTGTTCCACCGTAATTTTAAGCTTAAATTAAAGAACACGATGAGAAACTGATTGCTAGTCCTAAAATTCAGGTAGTTTTTGTAGCATAATTTAGGATTTTTTTCCAGTTATTCGAAGCTGTCCAGACATATCTTTTTCTGAACATTCCGGATGCCCGAA